CATTTGTTGCTGGGCTGCCTGATTATGTACTGGATCTAGAGCTGAAGAGTTTTACTTTAATAGTGTTTTGGCATGGTCCCTTGCTGTGTTGAGTGATGTGGAACTTCGGAAGGGTGGAATAGTGCTCCAACACCATCGAAGGGGAAGTTACATGAGTAAGATGTGGGGAGTCTGTTGATCTTGGCGTTGTTGGACTTATGGCTAATTGGGACACTTTGTCTACAGAAGGGAAATGACAGTTGAGGGGGGGTGTTAGTTTCAGCATCCTTTGTTGAATGCTAGTGAGTGGTCAAGATGCCATTGCTTCTGCTGGGTGTTGTGTGCAGTGTGCAGTGCTGCACGTAACAGCGTTATTATGAAATTGGGCACTTCTGTGGAGCAGAGCAGATAAGGTGGGCTGTGTCCTCCTGACAAGAGAGTGCAGTTTGACTCAACTCGTTGGACATGAACAGGATGTGACATGGAAGTGGACAAATGGAGCAGCACCCACATGATTGCAGATAAAGTTGCCCAGGATTTCAATATGCCTGGACTTTGAAGAGGACTTGGATTCACAGATAGTATGGTACCTTAAAATGAAGCGCCATGAGGCCTTATACTGCTCAGAGCAATAGGGGTAAGGTGCTAAAATTCCAGGAATTGAATGACCATGTGACTACCTTCACAGCCAACATTGATGTTTGTACTGACCAGTTGTGTAAGTGGTGTCAGCATGGGGCAAATGTGGATGTTCTTGATCTCTGCAGCTGTTTGTTGATAAGTGGTTGTGGCTTTTTCAGATAATGTTGGTGCAAGACTGCCAGTATTGTCTTATGCACTCGGTTTCGGCCTCATCATAGTACCACTGGTCATAAGTGCCATTGTCAAGACCATTCTGTTTGAAGCTTTGGTGATTGCATGTGTGGTGTTAACATATGTAAACAACCTATTGGTTAATGAGGATCTTGTCTGTGTGGAGTGGGTATCTGTGCATTTCACTGCTCTCAGGCTAGAATGCAAGAAGCTAAGCCATACTGTCTAAAAAGGTTATTGTAACTGTATGCAGTCCATTTCTGATGAACTGCAGTGGGGACATGACATGATGAACCACCGACATATGTAACTCTATGTGCTGTATTTGCATGGTGTGGATGATTAGTAGCACCAGCAGACAGCTGCATGGCTGAAACACCAACACAGCAACATGTGATATATGCATGTTGATGGGGTGACAGTGTGGACCAGCTGCATGGCTGAAACACTGTGTCAACACAGCAGTGGGAGATTCACTGTTCACCCAGGCATTCAGTGCATCCTGTACTTCGCATGATGTGTTGTTAACAAGGGCTGAGATATGAGTGGCTGTTAAGAGATGACATGCGTCAATACACTGACCTGGTACTTTTGAAATGGCAACATAGGTCATTAAGTGTGCCAGAAAAATGGTGGTGGCTAGCGACAGATGTTACCCACAACCTGGGTCTAGACTACCTGTCCATCATTGATTGTGGGTAGGGAGCGCCTAATGACAATGATACAGTTTTCCAAGGTAGGCAATTAACAGCATTTTCAGGATGATTGGGTGTATGCACCAAAGGTCTTATAACTAAAAGATGACCAACTTCAGCCATTTCCCCTAAGAAATGCTGTGCCCAGTATAGCCCTCTGATAGCCATAAGGTGACAATACTAGTGATGTCATTGTAACGTTGCAGAATGTTGCCTTGTCATGTACCACACAGTAAATATTTTTGTCTGCTTGACCATTATGCCATCAGCTAGTGCTTAATGTGTCTTGAACATAAATGTTTAAGTATTATGCAAATAAAACTATAGTCAAGCTGAGGTTCTTTATGTAATTCTAAATGTTATTTGTGATTTGAATTATTTCTAAGGGGTAAAGGAAAGAAATGCTCAATTTCAGATTAATTTGCAAATGTGCACATAATGAATAATATGAAAACAAGTTAACAAATGTACAAGTTTATTATATTTTCTGTTTGGAGAATTTGCTTCTTTATCATGTTTAATCATTTCAGTCATTGTTTTCAATACTTCTGTAATTTCAAGTTAACAAAGATATTGGTCATGTATGTCTTTTTTTCTGACCATACCATTACTCTTGGCATGTGGAATACCTTTTTTTGTGTTCCAAGTTCCCTTCTCTGATGTCACATATAAACTGCCAAATGTCATCAATTTATCATAAGATACTACTGGAGACTTATCAGAAACTAACAGAATATTCAATAGGCTACTTTTTATTTAACTATTGTAGCAATGTTCCCTCCAAACTACATTTCTTTTCTTGTGAATACACACTAGATAATTCCAAGGGTCTTCAATCTTAACACAATTAACTTCTAATAAACAGTCAAAACCAGAAAATACCTCGACTGTACTAGCGTTTGATTCATTTATAATTTTGACCCAAAGCAAAATGCTGTAAAAATTGCCCATGCAGTTAGCTTACTTGGAAAGTTTCAAATGATTATACATGGAGAATCAAAATTCCTCTGAAAATTCATTTGGATTGGAATAATCACACAAGGTTTTCAAGGCTGTTTTAAGTAAAAAATCAAATAATTTCTATGATTTCATAGATTCATAGCAAGCTGTATATATACAAATTTTATAGTCCGTGGTAGTATATTCTAGTTTTCGCATCTACAAGCCTTCACAGGCATAGAAAGCTGATTACTTTAAAAAAAACTATCTTGATCTAGAGAACCACAAACATATCTTGGCATAGTGTTGTGTTATTAAAGAGGTCATAAGTGTGATTCCTTTTTAACACAAATTCATTTGTATTTACAGCTGAATTCTCCAATTATCTAATCCAATTATCACATTAAGACATACAGCAAGTGATCTATTTGATGGTTGTGCAGGTTTAAGAATGGCTTCTTTCGACATGCATAGAAATCCCTATTCTATTTTAAAATTGATAACATGTAACTTGACACTTGTTTCCATCCACTGCTTCACTTGTACAATAGTTGGTTTACAATACCATTGCTCATGGTTTTTCGTGGGGGGGGCTTAGGGGGCGAAGACTGGGACCTAATGCTGGAGAACTCCCCTGCCTTGGGAATCAGCCCTCGACTCAACTAATTTTGCATGGTCTTTTTTCCCCTCCTGATTTTAATTTCTGTCCATTCCCCAGACCCTTCTACTGTCCACTTGCTAAGGTGTGAGAGCCGTGCTGAAAGGATGAAAGGCTGACTTTTTGCCAGTCCTGAATGGCTTGAGGGAGCCATGGGCACAGTATTCCTGTTTTAGTTGTCTAGCCTTTACCCCTCAAGGGGACCCTGAGGGGTGGACTGTTTCACTCTCCAACATACCATGGCCAATAATGAAGATGTTATACCAATTTTTGGGGTAATGAGGCTTGCTCCTTCATCAAATAGCCCCACCAATTCAAACTCTCCCAATTCCCCAACCCCAGGTTCTCCTTTGACCACTGCTCCGATCACCTCTACCCCCACAACCCTCTTCATCAAATACCCCATCCTCCCTTTTTACTACGTTAGAGCCTTATTGTCCACCTCTCCATAAAACTACCTCCCTCAACAGTACTCCCTCTTCCACACGCCCCCGTCCTTTTACTACCCCCATCTCTACATCATCCACTCTCCAGGTCAAAATTGCATCTTCCACATCATCCTTCTTTCCTCAGTTCGAAGGCATCCCACAAGGCAGTGTACTCAGTACCACTTTATTCCTTCTTGCTGTTAACCCATTCCGCAGGGGATGGCATGTACGTATATGCCATACCCACTGTGAGTCGACTTGTTAGATTGTTTTTACACATAGATGGCTACACTTGTACTAAGTCACCAGTGAACCAATTACGAGTACTGCCTGTCTCGCTTGTTCACCCTTTTCATCGATTTATGAAAAAATTTAACGTTATACTAATTTGTTGTTAAAAGTAACACCATCTATATTTATAGCACTAGTAAGAATACGTTTTTTCCCACCAATTCAAGGAAAGGTGAAATTAGGACTAGCAGAGCCATCCATGGACAGAGAAATTTCACAAAAATATAAAAAATGAGTACAGCATTTTCCCCATTTTTTGTTCATTTTCCCCAGCGGCAATGGGTTAATGAGTGAGTGATGATTTAACCATCTTTGCCTCTGGCACATCCATACCAAATCAACACCTATTCCTTCAGTTAGCAATATCAACAGTTTCTTCCAGGGCCACTAACCATGGCTTCCGCTTTTCTACCTCCAAATCTTTCTCCATCCTTTTCTCTCGCGCACATGTAGGGCCCCAACCTCCACTCTTCTATTGGCACTCCATTCCAATACCATTCCTCAGGCAAATTCCTTGGCATTATTTTTGACTCCAAATTGTCTTGGCGAGACCATATCTTTTACATTAATGGTAAAGCTTACCACCATCTCCGAATCTTACAAACTCTTTCCCATATATCCTGGGGCACAGATTGTAAAACTCTCCTTCATCTTCATGTTACTGTGATCCTCTCCACTCTTTGATTATGAATGCCTTATCTACTCCTCTTCTTCAACCTCTCTCCTTGCCCATCTTGATACAATCAACCACTGCAGTCTTCGCTTAGCCCTAGGTGCCTTCCGCTCCTCTCCAGTTGTGAGACTGTACACTGAATCAGGCATACCATCTCACTCTTGATGCCGTACCCTTCTCTCTTTCGGATGTTATGCTCGATTCCACCAACTTTTCCTCACCAAACTATCCCACGATCCCTACCTTTGCTTCTCCACATTTACTCCACATTTATTTACTTTCTCTATTTGTATGGATACCCTCCTCACTCATTCCCCTTTTCCCCATCTCTGACCTCTTCTGTTCTCTGTCCATTTTGTCCCTTCATGGCTTATACCTTTCCCCCATAATTTCCCTGGCCCACCAAAATCAAATATTCCCCCCCCCCGTTGTCCTTCTCAATCATTTCATTGACCATATCTCCATTCATTCTAATAGTATTCATGTTTACAATGATCGCTCTAAATCCACCTCCAGTGCTGGTTTCGCAGTAACCTTCCGAACTCGCACTTTCAAATACTCACTCCCTTCTTCCTCTTTCACTATTTTTACTGACTCTCGTAACTCATTAGCTCTCATAAAGTCAATACACTGGACCAACGGGCTCTCGCCCGCTTATGCATTGGCCACACCCATCTAACAAACTCCTATCTGATTTCACACTCTGATTTGCTCTATGTTCCCTTTGTAATGTCCCTTTTTCAGTTCCATATATTCTGTTGTCCTGCCCATGCTTTGATGCAGCCCGAACCTCTGGTTTCCCACAGCTATCCTCTCTTCACAGACCTCCCAACCCATCAGACATCCTTACAGAATCAAACACTTCCTGCTTTGATAACCTGTTCTCCTTCCTCAGATGCATACATATCCTTTACTTGACCTTTACCTAACCCGACCTTAATCCATTCACTCGTCAACTCCTTTGCCTAGCTTTTGCAACTAACTACTAACTCAACCACCCTTCACTACCTTTTACTATATCTTCCTATAGTGCTACGTGACCTTAAATGTCTAGCACATTTATTTTGCTTTTAACCATTAATCATTCATGGTCTCTTCGAAAAGGAAGGTTTTGTTTTTTATTCCTGTTTGCTTGACATGAAGGATAACAGCAAATATCCAACAAATACTTCCAAAGCATGTGGTATGGGCTATCATGCTAGTATTCAAAATATTTGAGACGAACCTCATGACTCGAGTGTAGTTATACCGTACTACTGAGCTGGTGGGTATGCCGAATTCCATAGTTATAGGATCTTTGGTATACACTGACTGGCAACAGTATTGTAGAGCGGAACCATGGCACGATGAAGGGGATCGCTGCAAGGAAGCACTGTTCTATTGCCGAAGCTGTACACCTATACAATGTTAAGCCCTGTGAAGGGTCAGCAGCGACCACGACTTTTGTGAGTGGCTTATACTGGTACGAGATTTGGGACTATGCGACTGGATCAAGAAGCCCAAGATGATAACCTGTCCAGCAATAAAGAAGTTGTGGAGCATACCCTGGGAGAGGCTGTGTGGGTCAGGAAGTGCGTTGAGTACTTCACCTCAACTTCACAGCCTGGCGCTGCCACAAAAGTTAACTCACTGCAGGTGATGGTGGTAGATGTTTTTCTGCGACAGGTGTAAGATTTGAGGTGCCTGTACTGTGTCAGGGGATGACGATGAGCTTCTGACCGGACCTGGACGAGAACGACGACGATCTGATGAGCAATTCTGAGTGAGACAAGGCGAGGAACAGCCGTGCCAGTGAGGCGGTCAGCTGCTTGGTGACTCACATTCCACTCGGATGTCGTCGGCAATGTTCATCTGTGTTCATTTCCAAAATTAAGGGTGTTGGTGAAAGCAACTTTTTATTTTCTACTACAAAATGTTAAAATATCATTCAGTTAAAAACTCCGATCTTCAAGATGATCCATCATATCTCTAATAACCACTCCTAACTTTCACCTTAGAGGCATGACTTAATAGTCATTATCTCTTGTTCGGAGTTCAATTAGAGTTGGCTAATTTTCTGAATTTGAATGATATTTCCTTGTACTTTTTACTGTTTACCTGCATTTTGTTCAGTAATGCCCATTCAAACACGATTGAGGGAGTCCTACAACAAGATGTTGCCGTTCCCTGATTTGAGTACGAGTGCTAGTGTCAACTTGTAATGTTTTTCATGTACCATTTCATGTACTGTGTGTTCTTGGAAAGTTTAAATTTAGTCAGGTTTGCCATTCCTGTTGTAACATAGATATTGGCAAGGTTGTATCACGTTTGACAAGAAATAATGAAATCTCATTCATAATTTGAGTACTAATATTTTTTTTCACATTTACTTTTTCATAAGTTCAGGGTGAAGAATGGAATATTAATTGGTTTAAATTCTACAGTGACAGGTATCCTGTTGGTGCGTATGGAGAGGCCACACTGTACAGTTGCTATTGATGGATCCCTCTTCCAGTATCACCCAAGATTTAGACCACTCATGGAAAAGCTTATTGCAGAGTTTGCTCCTGACAGATCAGTAAGTTCCTGATATAATGGTAATCTTTTTCTTTTTTGTTTGTATTTTAATGGACTGTAATGGAAAGTATAGATTTTAATTAGAAGTAATTTGCAAAACCTCACTAGCATTTTGTTCTCAACAGTTTAACCTGCTACTGGTTCACGATGGCTCAGGGAAAGGATCAGCTTTGGCAGCTTCCATTGCTGAGAGATTGCAGAAAAGGTTGTGAAGACGAAAAGTAAACGGAGTAACGGAGAGCGGCAGTGGATCTACTGGGGGGGCGGGGATGCATCTTCTATCTCCCCTAATGTAGGGCTTACCCTCTGGCCTTCCCAAACTACACTAGTAAAAGAAATAACTACTGCTTCCACACACTTTTAAAAATTATAGAACTAGGACTTCCAAATAAAACAAAAAGTAATGGAATGGGAAATGTTCGCTAGTGGTATGATGGGATTGACATTCTTTGTGTTTTTGTGTCTATAAGAAAGCTAAGCAATTTACACAAGATTACTCTTAGGTTATTATGCATTACTTTGTTATTCAGTAAATATTACTCGGTAATAAATTGCTAATTTGATTTTCCTGTTTATTGATATTCCTGTTTATTTATCACACACACACACACACACACACACACACACACACACACACACACACACACACACACACACACACATATATATATATGTATGTATGTATATGTCTTCTTCTTCGACGTTTCCCTTGTCTAGGGGTTGTCACTTTCCACTTACTGCTTTTCTTCACTTCTTTCGGTCTTGTGCCCACTGCTCTTCGATGTTCCTTTTCTTCATGTCGGCCATCACACAATCCAGCCACCTCTTTCTTTGTCTTCCTCTGCTCCGCTTTCCAGGAATAGGCAGATCCATCGCTTTCCGTATGCCTTCTTCCTCATGCCTTCTTTTCACATGGCCGAACCATGTGAGTCTTGCCTGTTCGATCTTGCTACTAATGCTTGTGACTCCTGCTTCAGCTAACACCTCTTCGTTTGTTCTCTGCTCTCTTAGACTGATTCCCAACATCCACCTCAGCATTCTCATTTCCGTTCTCTGCAGCAGGCTCTCTTCTTTCTTTCTTAAGGCCCAAGTTTCTGCTCCGTACAATAACACAGGTCTTATCACAGTTTTGTACATTTTTGCCTTCAGCTTGGCTGATAACTTTTTGTTGCACATCACGGCAGAAACCTCTCGCCACTTGGCCCACGCTTCCTTCACACGGTTTTCACTGCTCTCTCACATCCTCCTTCACTTGCCATCGTGCTGCCGAGATTCTTGAACTCGTCAACTTGGTCATACTTTGCACCGCTCTCCTCTTTGATGTTTATCTTTCTTCTTGCTCCTTTGCTGCTTCTCATGACGACAGTCTTCTTCATGTTCACTTTAAGCCCTCGACCCTCGAGTGCCTTCTTCCACTTCTTCCTGAGCTGTGCTTCCAAGTTCTTTTCACTCGTCGATGAAATGAGCAAGTCGTCGGCAAACATTTCCCAGAGCAATCCTCCTCCACACTCCTCGCTCACCACGTCGAGAACTATGATGAACAGAAGTGGACTCAGGCTTGATCCTTGGTGAAGACCGACTTTCACTTCAAATTCTTCCGATGCTCCCTGTGGCGTTCGGACCATTGTGGTTACACTTTCATAGGTATCCTTCACGATGTTAATGAGGTACTCTGGAACTCCTTTCTTCCGTAGACACCAGTAGACCAGCTCTCTAGGCACCCTTTTCCAAGTCAACAAAGGCATGGTATAGGTTCTTGTCGCCTTCCAGAAGTTTCTCTTGGAGCTGCCTGAGTATAAATACAGCATCAGTCATGCCTCTCCCCGGTCTAAAGCCAAACTGCATGTTTCCTATATCCACCACTTCTCGAATCTTCTGATCCAGGATCTTTTCCTCAACTTTCAAGAGGTGTTCCAAGAGCTTGATACCACAGTGGTTCCCACATTCTAATACATTGCCTTTCTGTTTATACACTAGCACTAGTATAGTTGACCTCCAATCTTCTGGGATGTTCTCTCCATTCCAATTTTTTTTTTAAGATCTCGTGGGTCGACACCGCACCTTCACTCCCCAAGGCATCCAACATCTCTACCACCACCTCCTATGTGCATACTGACTTGTTCCTCTTCATCTTCTTAAGGACGGCTGAGACCTGCAGGCTTACTTGCTGTATCGGACCTTCCATTGCTGGTAGTTCTGTTAGCTCTTCCCATTCGTGCCCCCCCCCCCCCCAATCCCTTGCCCGTTGTTGTCGTGGGGGGGGGGGGGCTTAGGAGGCGGAGACTGGGACCCAATGATGGGGAACTCCCCAACCTTGGGACTCAGCCCTCAACTCAACTAATTTTGCATGGTCTTTTTTCCCTTCCTACCTTTTCGTTTCTGTCCCTTCACCAATCCCTTCTACTATCCACCTCCTAAGGTGTGAGAGCCGTGCTGAAAGGATGAAAGGCTTACTTTGTGCCAGTCCTGAACGGCCTGAGGGAGCCATGGGCACGGTATTCCCTTGCTTAGGCCTAGCCCTTACCCCTCAAGGGGACCCTGAGGGGTGGACTGTTTCTCTCCCCAACATACTCCTGGCTTACCATGGCCAATAATGAAAACCTTACCCCACTATTAGGGGCAATGAGGCTTGCCCCTTCATCAAATAGCCCCAACAATTCAAATCCTCCCGATTCCCTAATCCCAGGCTCTCCTTTGACCATGGCTCCGAACACTGCAACAACTACCCCCTACTCAATGCCTACTAGTACAGTAGTCAACACTCAACCCCCTAGAGACATTCCTACTCTCCCATCATGCTCAACACCTCTACCTCCACAACCTTCTACATCAACTACCCCATCCTCCCTTATTAATACCTTACAGCCTTATTGCCCACCTCTCCATAACACTACCTCCCTCAACACTACTCCCTCTTCGACACGCCCCCACCCTTCTACTACCTCTATCTCTACAACAATCTTAAATACTCTATTTAGCCAGGCCAAATGGGACCGATTTTTTGTGATCCCTCCCACAGCTCCCTACTCAGACAACACCCTTCTCTTCCAGCAATGTCTCCAAAAACAAGTAGGCAAAGTCTCTTTCCGTAGCCGACCCGACCGCTCCCGTCTCGTCACAGTAACATCCGAAAACCAAGCTATAGCATTAGCAAAACTAACTGATCTATATGGTAACCCTATCCTTGCAGAACCCCATCCAACCCTCAATACTTGCACCGGAACTGTATCTATCTCCCCAGCAAACTGCCCAATCTATGACAAAGATTGGTCAGATTGTGGAGAAGACTTACTCGCCTGTCTCACAGAATATGATGCGACATCAGTACAATGCTACTCCATTCCTCCCAGGGGTCATTGTAAGAAACCCACTAACATCGCCAAAATTACTTTCCGTAGACATGACCTCCCATTTAATGTTTACATAGGTGCAGGTGGAGAATCCCTCCCTGTCTGACCATACCAACCTCCTCCTCGTCAGTGCCAAAATTGTTGGCGTTTAAGACACCCAGCCAAACATTGCCCACTATGTGCCCAACCTTACCATACTCGATCAAACTGTTCTGCACAATCACGCACATGTGCCAACTGTGGTGGCCCTCATAATGTATTTTATAGGGGCTGCCCCACCTACAAATTTGAGTCTGAGGTAGCAACTCTCAGATTCAAACTTGGACTCACACTACGTGAAGCCAGACAAGAAGCACGTCGACGAGGTTTCTCTCTTATTCCTTACTCCAGTAATATTGTTCATACTACCACTTCCCCTACCTCCCAAGCTCCTACATCCTCTCCTAAACCTACCCCCCCTCCATCTAACTCCCCCTCTTCTACCTCCTACCTTCCCCAGTCAAACTCTTTTGCCATCCTAAGTCCAGACACTCCAATCTCTACTACAGACACGCAACTACTCAACTCCGCTACAACCCCAACACCTTCCCCTCTCCCTCCCCGCAATACCCGCAACAGACAAAACAAACGTTCCACCCCCTCTTCTCTTACCACACAACCACCTCCACCTTCCTTTGCCCCTGCTCTTGAAATACCAGTCTTCTCTTCCCCCCCTCGCAAGAAATCATTTATCCCACATAACTCCCCAACCAACTCCATTGAAGAAACTCATGAAAATATTCAAGACTTCTTAATGAAAACTGACCCCCATCAACCTTCAAATCCTACAACTGCTCCCTCCACACATCAAGTGACTGCCGATATCCATCCTCCTCCTAACGATATCCCCCCTACACCCTATCCTTCTACCCCCTCCCAACACAGCCCATCCCCCCCAACAAACACATTAACCCTCCCATCATCCCCTCTATCCCTTCCACTCCCTCCTGGATACACACGTGAATCCCTTATATCACAAGCATCCCCTTCCACACCCGTCTAACACACCCTTATCTGATGTCACAATCCGATCCACACCTATGCTCCTTATGTAATGTTCCTCTTTCAGTCTCACACATTCTATTATCATGCACACGTTTTGAAGCAGCCTGTAGCTCTGCTTCCCCCCCACCTATCCTCCCTTCATCGACCTCCCAACCTATTCAGCTTCGACAGCCTGTTTTCCTCTCAAACGCATAAATATCCCTCACTTAATCTAACCCCTTTACATTACCTCACCCGACCTTAACCCATTCACTCACCAATTCCTTTGCCCAGCTTTGACAACTAATCACTAACTTAACCCCCCTTTACTAACATTTACTATAGTGCTACATGACCTTAGATGTCTAGCACATTTATTTTGCTTTTAACCATTAACATTAACATTCCCATTCGTGCCAGAATCCGTCCGTCCTTGCTCTTCACCACAGTCTCTCTTTGCTCTTGCACGCTGCTTGGTCACTTTATATATGTATATATATATATATATATATATATATATATATATATATATATATATATATATATATATATATACATATATATATATATATATATATATATATATATATATATATATATATGTATATGTATGTATATTTGTATATATATACGTATATATGGGACTGCTGTGATGGAGTAGTGGTTACACCACTGGACTCTAACCTTCGTAGTCCCGAGTTCAATTCCCCGTCGCGGCGGTCGTACAAATGCCTGCGCTCTGCTGGCTCGAGCCCGAGAAAACAATATACATATACCTGCATATATACATATATATGTATATATACACATAAACATATATATATGTATAGAATATTCATTATCATGTATAGATATATATGTATAGATATACATATATATATGTGCATATGTATATATTTATATATATATGTATGTGTATATATATGTATGTATATATATGTGTGTGTGTGTATGTGTGTATATATATATATATATATATATATATATATATATATATATATATATATATATATATATATATATATACGTACGTATATATATA